AAATATTGAGAAAATCACCTTTAAAGTTGTCCAAATGAAGTCCTTAGAAATGCATATTACTAATCAAAAATTTAGTTTTAATATATTTACAGTAGGAAATTTACAAAATATCTTCATGGAACATGATCTTTACGTAATATCCTAATGATTTTTAGCATAAAAGAAAAATCAATAATTTTGACCCATACAATGTATTTTTGGCTATTGCTACAAATATACCCCAGGGACTTAAGACTGGTTTTGTGGTCCAGGGTTACATTTATGTACTTCTTCTGACATCCCATCCAATGTACAAAGAAAATTCGGATACAAGTACAGTACATTCAAAGGATTGTACAGTATGTTCAACTTTTGGTAGACCAAAAATCTATAAAACAGTTCTGAAAGTTGTGAATTGTGAAAATTATGTGATCTAGGACGTTTAGCGAATGCCAATGTAAAGACTGTAAGTCTATCCCTCACAGCCTTGCTTTCATCCCTGTTAAATTCAGTATGGCGTCTAACCTGACTAAGGTCTATAGACTCTGACTCACCATCAATAGTAATTTCCGAGATCCCAATCTCACCCAAATCAGTATATGAAATTTCAAATGTGTAATTAATAACTGTTACTCAAACATTGTTTAGAAAATAAACCCTCTCAGAATAATTTAATTATGGAAATTATTTCAATGAAAGCAGACCACAATCTAAAAAAAAATAATTATTTTGTTTTCTTACCAGATATGCCATGGTTTGTCCTTAATATTTTCCAGACACAAGAGCTGGGAGACCTTTACTGCTGACAATGCATCCCTGAGGTCCATCTTGTTAGCGAAAAAGAGTATAGGTATTCTTCTGTGCTTAATATCTAAGCATGCCCAGAAAAAAACAAAAACAAACAAACACACATGAGCATTAGGGTGCTTTTAAAGGAGTAATTCACCCAAAAATTAAGATTTGCTGAAAATGCACTCCTCCTCAGGCCATCCAAGATGCAGATGAGTTTGTTTCTTACAAACATGCAACTTTTCGCTTCACAACACGTTAAGTGATGGACTGGAGTCATGGAGTACTTGTGGATTTTTGTGATGTTTTTATCAGCTGTTTGGACTCTCATTCTGGCGGCACCCATTCAGTGCAAAGGATCCAGTGGTGAGAAAGAGATGTAATGCTAAATTTCTCCAAATCCATTCTCTTGAAAAAACAAACAAACTCATCAACATCCTGGAAGGCCTGCGAGTGAGTACATTTTCAGCTGATTTTCATTTTTGGGTGAACTGTTCCTTTAATTCAGATCTGAAAATGATGACTAAAACAGAGGTTAATGAAAGATGTACCAGGGTGATTCAAAAGGGTATCCAATTCTTCTTTTGCCACAACCATTCTTAGTTTATCACCACTGTCAATCACAAATATGATGGCCTGACCCTCCCTGAAAACAAGATAACATCGATAAACACAAAAAACACAGATCGATTCCAAAATGGCCAATGGCACTTCATTAGCTCAGTAAACATAATCAGATAAGCTCGAATCAGAGAAACCCACTTGTAATAGTGCTCCCACAGATTTCTGTATCTTCCCTGCCCTGACATGTCAAACACTGTGAAAGAAAGACTTTGGGGAAAACAGATATTGTGTTAGTAATATTTTGAAAAAGGACAAATGGTTTTCAGACACTAACAATTAAATCACAATATCTATAGTTAACGCTTTCAAATGTTCACCTTGAGGTCTTAAACTTTTCTATGCTGAAACCTATAGTTGGTACAATGTCTTGAGCCTGAGCCTGCAAAGAAAAAAGGCAATATCTCAACTGTGAGCTCACATACAAAACAGAGATCAAAGAAGAGAAAGGAATATACAAAACCAAACTGGTGAAAACCAAGTTATTTCATATCGGGTCCACAGACAGGAGTGTGACATACATTGGATGGCTTTAGCTGGTTGATGATGGTAGTTTTTCCACTGTTGTCCAGACCTAAACACAACACGTTCACTTCCTTCTTCTTCAGGCCCAGCCACCCTGCAAGCTTGTCAAAAAGCCCCATTTGCCTATTTGGATGGGACGCTTCTGGAGAGAGATCACATCAAAGACAAGCTCCATTAGATTATTCATTAGATGCATCCAGAGGCTGACAAACACTTGGGACAACAGAAACATCTCCTTTTTTCTTCTCAGTCTCCATAAGGCACCAACTGCTGAGGGGAGCAGATATCAGTTGTTTAAAAAATAAATACACAAAAAAATAAAACACTAAGATCTACTGCTACTACTGCTAATGTTTAGTTTAATTTTAATATGAATTCCAGCTAATAGTGACACTTAAAGTTGGTAAGATTTGTTAAAGTTTTTGAAAAGAGTTGGGAGTCCATCATGCTATCAAGACTCTTATGTTCAACAAGACTGCATTTATTCAGAAAAACAGTAAAAACAGTATATTGTGAAATATCATTACAATTTAAATCATTTTATAATTTATTTTCAATATAATGCATTCCTGTGATGACAAAGCTGAATTACTCCAGTCTTCAGTATCAGACGAACCTTCAGAAATCATTTCAATATGCTAATTTGATACTCAACAACAATTATTATCAATGTTGAAAACAGTTGTGCTGCTTAATATTTCTAGGTCAACTGTAAATAGAAAGTTCAAAAGATCACATCATTTGTTTGAAATATAAATTTTCACATAATAAAGAGTTATTTTGTTGTGGCCTAATGGTTAGAGAGTTGGACTCGTAACCAAAAGGTTGCGGGTTCGAGTCTAGTTTAACTTTACAATAAAATGTCTTTACTGTCACTTTTTAATCAATTTAATGCACCCTTGATGAATACACATATGCAGGTGTAACCCCCGGTTGAATGAAGTGTAATTGAAGGGAATTATTTAATTTATTCACAGTTTGGTAACATCATATTTCTCTTATAAAAGTTGAAAAGAGGTGTAGAGGAGCAACGTACCCGAGGTCATGTCTGCGGGTCAAACTGTTGTTGTGGAAGGTTCTGTTGCAGTACCTGGTTGTGTAGATAAGTGTGTAGTAGTAGAGCACCCATCTGATTCCTCTTTACCTGGTGGTGTGTTTGTAAAACGCTGTCTACTTACCCCTTCTAATAGTCAGCCTGTCCGGTTACCTGTAGTACTCAAAAACGAAACAGAGCATGATATAGCTATTCATCCGAGATGCATAATAGCAGAGCTGCATGCAGTTGAGTCTGTGCTTCCTCACCCGAATGTTTCCCCTGTTAGTAAGCACCTACCTGTTCAGGAGTCCAATTTTGCTCCGAATTTCGGCGAGTCCCCATTGCCACAAGAGTGGCGGGACCGCATTTCTGCAAAGCTCAGAGAAATGCCAGATGTTTTCAGTCAACACGATTTAGACTTTGGGCATACGCAAAAGGTGAAACATCGTATTCAATTGCATGATGAAACTCCATTTAAACATAGGGCGCGACCGATCCATCCACAAGATCTGGAAGCTGTCCGCAGACATCTACGAGATCTTCTCTCAAGCAAAGTTATTCGAGAGTCCGAGTCACCTTTTTCTTCGCCTATCGTAGTGGTGCGGAAGGAAAACGGAGATGTACGGTTGTGCATAGACTATAGGAAGTTAAATCTCCAGACAGTGAAGACTGCTTACACCAATGTTGTTATTGTAATTTATTATTGTTGTATGTATTTATTTTATTTATTGTATTTTAATTTATTATTTGTATTTGTGTATTATTTTAATTTAGAATTCATATATTTGATGTTCATAATTTTTCTGCCCCATATACACCGATCATGAATAACATTATGACCACCTTCCTAATATTGTGTTGATATCTCTTTTGCTGCCAAAACAGCCCTGCTTCTAAAAACACATCAACTTTGAGGACAAAATGTTCACTTGCTGCCTAATTTATCCCACCCACTAACGTGTGCCTTGATGAAGAGATAATCAGTGTTATTCACTTCACCTGTCAGTGGCCATAATGTTATGCCTGATCGGTGTATAGTATAGCCCTTCAATTGTAAACAGTTTAACGACAACGCTAATTCATTGCTTTAATAATAAAGGATGTTATAATTTGAAATATTTTAATATGTGATGGAGATCGGCATCGTTGGCTATCCGCGGCTGGATTGATAAGAAAGTCGGCTTGTTTGCTTCTTTTTTAATAATCCGATTTAAGTGAATTAACTTGAGCTGCGAGCGGACACACATCTTGCAACATGCACCAAAGGCTGTAGTAGTACATGAACCTAATTATTCTGAATCTGTAAACTCGCTGTATTTGTATGCCAGTATCTTGTGTCTAAAGAAAGCACCCACCTGTTGTGTATAGGAATATACGAAGAGGACATTTCAGTTGCATACCGTAATATAGCTTTAGACGACCATCCATCCATCTATCCATCCAATGACAAGAGATAGTGGCATTATAACGCGTTTAACCGTTACCTCTCTCACAGTGTCGAAGGTCAGAAACACATGAACGCGTAAATTAATCTACAAGAACAGCCTGTAATCCTTTGAGCTCATTAGCACACGGGTTAGCGCTTCACATGTGCGAGTACGCTAAAATAACCAAAACACGTCCGTTTTCGGAGTTTGTTCCATTAAACACTCATATACGTTCAGATAAAGATAGCACACGGTTGACATTTTCTGTTAATCTAAGGTTATTGTTTACATATTCGTTGCAGGCGGCTAGCTGACTGGCTAACCTGCTCTGACGGTCTGCTGTACATGGAAAGATCTTTCTTACTTTTCTCCTCCGGCTCTGCTCAAGTTGTATGATGTCTGCTTCTTGGTTAAAATGTGATTTTGAATTCATTCATATGATTGATGGTATGTCCAGTACAGATGGAGAGACGTAAACACACTTACCTGGCGTCCTGGAAACGGTTTAAAACTCTCCAACCCACGCACCGCTGCTAGGAGACCGATGACGCCTTTTCTCTCGACTCACATGTTTACTTCATAGCGCCATCATATGACAAGAACTGTAGCTTTGCGTAAAAAAAAAATCATGATTTCCAGAAATCGTACATTAGTGTCATGATTTGTGAAGCATGTGGGTTTTAAACGCAACTGATAGCATCCCAGTGAAAGACAAAGTTACTTACTTGGGTATAGTCGTCATAGCGCCATCATATGACAAGAACTGTAGCTTTGCGTAAAAAAAAATCATGATTTCCAGAAATCGTACATTAGTGTCATGATTTGTGAAGCATGTGGATTTTAAACGCAACTTTCAAAATTATGGGTATTTCTTCACCTTTTAGCATTTGTATGTCACAAGGGATGATTAAAAAAAAATAAAAAATAGTCACATCACAACTTAAAATTGGGAATGTTTTGCTAGTTTTTATCATTTTAAAATGCATTTATTATTTTTTGTTTTACCTTTGTCCAATACTCAGACATTGATGTTGTGAATTATTAAAGTCATCTAAACATACACAAATTCACTGTTTATTGTGTGAACATGTTTTATTATTATTATTATTATTATTATTATTTGCCTTATTTCCCTACATCCGGCAGTGTCAGTGAAAATAGTATTTAATTGTATTTAGTATACAACAAAATAATAACTGTGAAATTAGCCTTAGCAAAACAACGAGCCTAAGCAAATTAAATGGAAGTGAAATTCATGATGCTGTTCATGACCAAAAGTGCCAATAATTTAAGAAACCATTATTATTAAAATGTCAATTTTTGTAATTAAATTAATTAATAAAGGGGATCAGGAACAATTGTAACACAGGTTAACTGAAGCAATGCTTGTTGCACAACATTTTTTCATTAATGTATACCCAACTTTGTTCTCTGTGGCAGACCAAAGCATCCCACATAATTCATTTGATCAATTTTTGCATTCCCTTGCATAAAATACATTATTGTGGCACTTTACACCATGGTTCCCAACCCTGGTCCTGGAGGTACCCCAACACTGCACGCTTTGCATGTCTCCTTTCTCTGACACACCAATTTCAGGTCTTGAAGTCTCTACTAATGAGCCGATGACCTGAATCAGGTGTGTTTGATTAAGGAGGCATGCAACTGCATCTTGGGTGGCCTGGGGGTCCATTTTCAGCAAATTTTCATTTTTTGGGGGCGAACTATTCCTTTAAAGGGTTAGTTCATGTTAGTTACGTTTGAAATATGGATATTTATCTTACAAAAATGCATGGATTTGCTACAGGAGGCCTTTATTTACCCCCCGGAGCCGTGTGAGGGACGTTTTATTATGGATGCACACACTTTATTTCACGTCTTCTGAACTGTTGACAACCAACACCCGCTTACCACCATTGTAAGGCTTGGAGGGGCCAGGACAATTTTTAATATAACTCCGATTGGATTCGTCTGAAAGAAGAAAGTCACATACACCTAGGATGCTTCGAGGGTGAGTAAAACACAGGCTAATTTTCAATTTTGGGTGAACTAACCATTTAAGACCTGCAAATGACCTAAGTATCCTTACAACTAACTTGCCTGTAGCTTCTTCATGATTTCGTAGTGTAATATTTTAGAAAGCAAAAATGCAGTCCATATAATAATAAATCATTTTTTTTATCTTGATAGACTCACAAAAAACACAAACATATCTGTTATCATTTATTTTTACAAACATTCAACCTATATCACCTTTATCTCTCTGTACTCTTTATAAATTATAAAAAATAATGTACAATTAGTTTACTATGAACAATACATTATGACCTGATTACCCAGAGTTTTCCCTTGCCCTGCTTGAAGTAAGCACTCTGCTTCTCTTGCACTTTTGACGTTTGCACATTGCAACTTGAAGTTTGTCAAGTGGTCTCAGTGTCCCGAACATGTGTTCAGGTACAAAGAGCCAATCAAAGGATGGGGGCCTATATCAGCTAATGAACATGGTACTGGTATTGTGCGTTTGTATGTCTGGCGGAAGCGAAAGAGACTGCAAATGCGTATGTTACCATTAATGTTATGTGTGTATGTAGGCCTGCTGTGTTGGGAAAAATAATTGCCAACATGCAGAGTGCTATACTGTCATGTTCTCTATATGAGAACATTTTACTGCAACCTGTTACCTCAATGGTTCTCCAATGACGATATGACAATAGTTTCATAGTCGCAAGGCAAACTGATAAAATGTCAGAGGTGTCTATAGAATCTGTACACCATAGTAGACTGAACAAATGTGTGCAGTTCTCAAATCTCGTTCTGAGTGGATTTGTTTAAGTTTGTTCAATTTGACTGTGGTGCACAGGAGTAAGAAAATGGCTTACAGTCTTTTGAAAGGTCAGACTTTTACCACCTCGCTGACAGCCTGAGGAAGTCAATGGTTTTGTGTGGCATTTTTTCAACAGAGCAAGATAAAGCTCTCCACTTCCTACCTTGACTCTTTTCTTGGTTTTCTAAAGACTGCACATATTGCTTAGAAAAAGAACTAAACAAAATGCAACCAAAAAGAAACAAAGTCACACATACATATAAATATCAGGATAAATATCAGATGTGATAAACAATGTATAATAGCCATTTAAAGCTGAAGACATTCAACAGATCCATAGTCTCTCATTTTAGAAGCTCGATGAATAAATCAGGAAAATCTCTTAAGACACATAATTTAATACATTAAAATAGCAAATATGCTATTCAAAGTTCTCAGGTTTGGAGTCCAGTCAATCACAGAACTTGCAGGATGATTGACAGATGACATCTTCATAACAACAGAATGGTGCCATTGTTCCGTTGTTTACTGTGGTTCCTCCGGGTAAATGGTCCAATTTTCCTGTTACACACAGTTCATCAACACAAACAATTCATGTCATTTAGCATGTTTCTTCAAGGTCTTTGAGACTGCTTTCTTATGCATGTGTTTCAACTGGAAGTCTTCACTGGATTATGATAGAAACAGAGGCTGTGGAGCACTTCTCATTGACAGACAGTCAGTCCAGACCTGAAGGGTGTGTGCGTGTGTTTTGGGGGGTCTAGCGATGCTGGGAAAAGCATTTGCATGAAGAGTATGTGTATGTGTATATGTGGATTTTCATACATGGAAGCCACTCTGTTGAACGTGGAGGAACTGCAGTCGTAGTGCTTGTATGCTGCTCACTATCCTCCTCTGGTGGCCAATCAGAGACACTCCGATTCTTCTTACATCACTGTTGAGAAAACAACAGCATGAGACTTCTGAAACTGAGGCAATTAATTGGCAAGGTCATGATGAGTATAAAGTGAATATGAATAGAATTAAAGGATAAGAGTAATTTACTGCGTGAAAAACCAACAAAGGGTTATTTATTTATTTATTTTTAAATGTATTTATTTTTTAACGGGGCTAAAGATGAACTAGGGTAAAAGGCGTATTTGGTGTTATTCTCCTCTTAACCACTAGATGGAAGAAAAACTCACTACAGCACCTTTGCAGTGGAAATTTGGCTAATACTCAACAAAATCATGGGCAGCGACACAAAGTTGGTTCTGTGCTAATTTGATCTAATATTTCTGAAAGCCTGTTTCCACAATTGAAAAAAAAAAAAACTTTTTATCTTACAATTCTGACTTTTTGCATGAAGAATTGCGTGATATAAACTTGCAATTCTAACTTCCCCCCCCTCAGAATTGCGTAATGTAAACTCACAATTGCGAGAAAAAAAGGCAGAATTGTGAGGAAAAAAAGTTTGAATTGCCTTTTATATAAAGGCCAAAAGCACAATAACTGACATGATAATAAATAGCTAGCTGAATTTTCCATTTGTTGACATGACATGGTTAGGTTCAGATGGTCAATATAATTTATTAGGTTGGGTGTAAACAGACATAACCACCAAATAATCACCAAAAATATGATATTAATCATATGCTATAATAACATAACATATTTGTGACCCTGGACCACAAAACCAGTCTGAAGTCGCTGGGGTATATTTGTAGCAATAGCCAAAAATGCATTGTATGGGTCAAAGTAATAGATTTCTTTTTATGCCAAAAATCATTGGGATGTTAAGTAAAGATTATGTTCCATGAACATATTTTGTACATTTCCTACCATAAATATATTAAAAATGAATTTTTGATTAGTAATATGCATTGCTAAGAACTTCATTTGGACAACTTTAAAGGCGATTTTCTCAATATTTAGATTTTTTTGCACCCTCAGATTCCAGATTTTCAAATAGTTGTATCTCGACCAAATGTCCTATCCTAACAAACCATACATCAACGGAAAGCTTATTTATTCAGCTTTCAGATGATGTATAAATCTCAACTTCGAAAAATTGACACTTAAGACTGGTTTTGTGGTCCAGGGTCACATTTATCTTTTATTATACTGAGTGTTCAGAGTGTAGGGTAGAATGCCTCTAATTCATTTTATATGATTTTTGAACAAAACAATTTTTTATGACTTATTTTCCTACAAAATGTGTTTCTCCATCTATGTTCAATAAAAAAACATTTATTTATTTTTATTTATTTATTTTAGCAATCATACACCATGATGTGAATAGCACTGAACTAAACCCACTAAAGAGAGTGATCATGATCATTTTTGCATGCAAAACAACACCTAGAACCTAAATGAAGCGTAAAAAAAAGCAGTGAGCAGAACTTCATGCAGTAGTTTTGACTCCACTCACTCAATACTCATGGTGGATATGGAATCCAGGGTTGTGTACCCTGCTGCTATGAAGTTGTTCTTGTATTGACTCATTTTGATCGAATCCAACCAATCACCGATAGATATGAAGAGAGGGTAGTCTGGCATATCCTCAGGGGATTCTGGGAAGCTGTTTAAACACACAACACATACTGTATGTGAAACAACAACAGTTTGGCACACGTTTCCCACAAGGCAAGAGACAACAGTTCAGTGTAATCAGAGTTATCTGTCAGTAAACACTAACAATTTCAGTTTAAAATGATCATTTCAACATT